TTACCGGTACTGTAGGCAATTGTTCAGGCTCCCATCCGTTAGGTCGCTACAGCTTTGGCTTCAGCGTGTTCCTCTGAGGGTTGGATTTTACCCAGAAGTTTTAGAACTAGTCAAAAGGCGTGCAGCTTCTTTTTCACCAGAAGACAAGCCATGCATTATTGCCTTTGACGAGATGCACGTCACGAAAGAGCTCTCGTACAACCCCTCTGTGGACAGGTTTGAAGGGCTCGAAGAAAGTAACACTGGAAGACGCCATAACCTTGCAAACAAAGCTCTTGTGTTTATGGCTAAAGGCATTCGCACGCCATGGAAGCAGCCACTTGGCTATTTTTTTGCTTATGGGGGAACACCTGCCAACATTTTGCGTGACCTTCTTTTCCAGTGGCACAATTTGCTCCTGAAAGCCGGCCTGGGGCCAGTAGCTGTCGTATGTGACCAAGGCAATCAAAATGTTGCTCTATTTAATGGACTTGTTACCCCTGAGAAGCCCTACGTAACTGTGAATGAGAAGCCACTTTTTTTTTCTATTTGATGTTCCACATCTGCTGAAGTGCTTATGAAATATGTTCTTCAATTACAATTTTCAAGTTGGGGACCACACGTTGAGAAGCTCTTTCCTCAGGGAAGCTTACGAAAAAGGCAAACAGCTTGAAATCCGATCCATGCCAAGGCTCAGTGAGAAGCATTTTAATTTTAATTTTGCCTCCAAAATGTCAGTGAAACTAGCAGCGCAAATATTCAGTAATCACAGTGCTGCTGCAATGTTTGCCATGGTAACTTTCCAGCAGCTGCTAGTTGAAGATATCCACACGGCCCGGTTTATTGAAAAAATGGATCGTCTTTTTGATAGCTTGAACAGCTCACAGAAACGCGGGAAGAGTGCACATGTGTCTGCAATGCACGAAGGCTCTGTTCACAAGGAGTTTCTGAAAGAATGCCTTCATATGTTCGAAAGCCTTACCGTTCTTGGGTGCCCACGGCAGCCTGCTTGCATTCGCGGTTTCTCCTTGACCATTAGGTCTATTTTGCAGATTTGTGAGCACCTGACATCTGAGTATGGTTTCAGATACCTCCTGACTCGCCATCTCAACCAAGATGCACTCGAAAACACATTCTCCGTAATAAGGTCAAAGTCTGGTGCGAACGCCAATTCCTCTTGCCGGCAGTTTCAGGCAGCCTTTAGACATCTCCTAGTTAGCAGCTTGTTTAAACTGTCTGACAAGAGCAACTGCGAAGAGGACATGGCAACTCTTCTAGCGGCTCTTCCGGTTGGTTTCTCAGCTCCCTCAGCTTCACTTAGTCTAGGAAGCTCACTTCCACAATGTGCAGCTGACCTCACATCCTGTAGTTATCCCACTTTATTATCACTTAACAACATGGTTTACTTTGCTGGATGGTTTGCAACAAGGTTTGTCAAATATCACACATCTCAAAACGTGACTCAGCAATGTGAATTGCAAATCAAGAATGCCACTTTTTCTGATGACAGCCAAGTGTTGTATCTGAGTGTCAAAGGAACGGCTGCAGGAGACTTTGGAAGCCTCTCGGTCCCCTCACCTTGCTTTGTTTCTTTCGTTCAAGCTTGTGAGAAGGTTTTTGTGGCGTCAATTGACAGTCTTGTTTTGAAAGAAGGCGTTGGGAAGGCGTTGTGCATCACTCTTCATGAGAAGGTGGAAAAGCTGCTGACACTCTGCAGTGTGGATGTCTACGGTGATTTATTTGCTTTGTTTACAAGGGTGAGGCTTCATTGGTTTGCCCGTTCTAAAAAAATAATGAGCTCCTTGATGCAGCTGTGAGACGCAAAACCCAGCAACGAGTCCAGAGGCTGTGTAGATGACACAACACTTGCGTTATGCCCACAGGAAGTCCCTTTGGTTTGTCTTACGTTGTTGCATTCAACGATCACGCTGGAATACCAGATTGTGCGAGTACATACCTCTAAATTATCACACGCTTTGCCGAAACTGTCCACTGCAATGACCAAATGAATCTATCATACTTTAAATAAAGTGTAAAAGTTTGTTTCCCACGCTCAGACAGTGCAATCAACGTATGGGTTCAGCTAGACGAACTTGAATTTTCAATGAATCAATATCAAAATTTCACTGTCACAGCATGCAAAACTAATTTTTTCGTTCTAAGTAAAATATGTTAGATTCATTCGACCCTCGCTGTATACTGCTAGATGACGTTGCTCACTGAATGATGGGACAGAGTGTCTACCAAATTCCTTATTCCAAATTTCCCAATTTTCCCAAGGTTTTCCTCTCTATTTCGATAAAATGTTGACCGTTACTTTGGTTCAGGGAGTGCCTAGTGGCCTGCGCTGCCTAGTGTCGTGTCGGGCAACGTTATTCAGTGCAGCGGCACCACCGTGAAATCCTTGTGCAATCATCGGGCTTCGTTGCACACTGCCGTTCCACTTTCGCTTATTATTTTTACTGATTAGGAACTTTTTTACGGTTCCCTTTATATTACCCTGTTCTTTAAACAAAATCCGCCTTACTTAAATATTTTAAGTTTTCCAGGTTGGTAGACACCCTACACACCCTGTGCATTATTGAGGAGTGTGTGAGAAGAAGCGTTGACCTCGATGTTTTCTTGTGCAGTGTGACGACTTGAGACATAAACCTGGATTAATGTTTGGTTGTGTGAGGTATACAAAAGTATATCAAACTGCGATGAAAGGTAACTCAGTGAGTCAGTATGGTGCTAACAATTTGTCACAAAGCGAATTATTATCCTTTTTCTAATGCTTTCTTTCCTGTCATTTTGTGGCAGTTTCCTGCGTACTAATCCTCACATAAATAGCCAAGCTGTGGAGCACAATATGCGTGTGACGAGCGCATGTGCTATAACGAAACGTCTCAATTTTCAATCTCTTGAAGCATTAATTCATGTGGACATTCAAATGCAAAAGACATGCATAGCCCCGCACCTCCACCTGTGATTGATATAGTTAAATCTAGTTACGAGCTCTCAACGTGAACAGTGCAAGATAAATGCGTAAACGTGCCTCCCGTTGAGAATATTAAGTGCGTGCATAGAGTTGTCCAGACTTTATTTCGCTTCGTTTTTAATGCCATATCTATCTTCAAGTGTTCTGTGGTGGTGTTGTAAGTTTGTATATAATAAACTGTGTAAACCAAGCTTGTGCCTTTTTGTCTTTCTTGGCGAACAAGCCGTTGTTGCAATGTTAAGTACGCCTTAATAGGCGTGCTGTAACACACTGCTTAGTTGAAGAAGATAGTAACTTATTGGTGGTTCCCAGAACTGATAAAAAATGGTTCTTTTGGAAGAGGGATTACATGGGAGTGACTGATACAAACACGGCTATTAGGCGTGAAGCAAGGTTTGAAGGACGGTAGCAGGCATGTAGAACATCTGAAAAACTTTAAATTTCGCGCCACCGGCGAAAATCATTTAAATTTCGCGCCGAAAACAATCGTGACGTCACAATCTTGAGGAAAATGCGTCATATTGTGTTTCTTTGTTCCTTTTTAATAAAGCGTCACTTCCTGTACGTCACGGGCGAGCATGACTAATGACAATGCCGCGCAACTAACAGATGGCGCTGCGCCCCATGAGCCGCCATCTTTTGCGCCTATGGGCTTCTATGGAAGCTTCGCTACCATCTATACATACACCTTGGCCAAACCATGATGTCAGGGCGTATGTTGCGTGAGCAACTTCATCTGCATACAAATTACGCACTTGCAACCGCTGAAAACGCGAGTGCAAAACGATTCACCACAACATCAGCAAATAGGGTGTTCACAAAATACGTTTGGATGGATCGAGCGTGGTTCAAACTCTTTCTATCCTTTCTTTTCACCCAATTGCCTTCCCTATCGACAGTGACATGTGCACACTAAGTGCACAAACAGCTGATTAAAAAAAAAATAGAATAAACAACGCTTTCACTTACTGGCTCCACGTTCAAACAAAAATCGGAGCCCACTTTTTTTTTTTTCTTACTATAGTGATTGTGCTCCGCGCCGGTTGTTGACTCCTACCGGTAATGGCGCACACCGGGTGAACAAAATCTAGCTTGCCAGGATCGGCGGCGAACAGCTCGAGCTCACCCCGAGCGCCCAACCTGCATGCGAGCATGCAACTCGGTTGCTCCGGAAAACCTCTGTGCCATGTATGAGGAAAAAGCAACGAATAAATTGTGGTGTATCCGCCTCAAAGTTCTATTACACTCTAAGAAAAGGCCGTGAGTCTTCTTTCCCGAACAACACTGGGAGAGCCAATCACCGCAACTTACGGAGGCAGCTCAGCGAATGACGATGCGGAAACATATGTTTAGACTAAAAAACGCAATCTGAGTTTTGGCATGCACTGCAAGCGTGACGTTTTGCATTGCTTAATGTCACAACATATGTTTCGGCATTGTCATTCGCTGAGCTGCCTCCGTACGTTGCGGTGATTGGCTCTCCGAGTGTAGTGCGTGAAAGTAGACGCTCAAACATTTTTAGAGCGTAGTCAACCCGCCGCTACTGTGTCAATCTTTCCTCCGCCCGTACCAAAATATGATTTGGAGAATGTTTAATTATAGCAATTTATGAACATTTTAGTATATTTAGAAACTATCCAATAGTCATATTAGATATGAGTCCCGAGATAGCTCACAGTTCTTCGAGTCAAAATAAGTGTTTCGTGTGCCAATTTAGGGCCTTGAAAAGCGAAATTGCCGAAGGTATCACCAAAATTGGGGGGAAAGCTTGCCCGCTATACATAAAGTTAGCTCTTTTATTTGTAACTAACATACCGCCAATATTATAAAATAAAAGAATCGAAACATTTTTGTTTTGTTTTTTCCTCTTTTCTTTTTTTCCTCGCACGTACCGTTGTACACGTACATCTATCCGCGCAGATGAGACTCAAATACTCGCGTAAAACCACATGACCTAGTTTTAAGTACGCGCAAACCTGCGTCGTTCTCCCGGAGTTACACCTCTGCTGCAGCCTCGGACGCTAAAATTGTCCTGGAAGTCATGTCCAACGCTTCGAGCTTCTTCAAGGAACGGCTCGCTCTCGTAGTCGGCGGCGGTGGGGGAATCGGCAGATGTGTTTGTCTCGCTTTTGCCAAGGAAGGTTACCGAGTCATTGTGGCTGATATGAACTTTAAAGAAGCAACCGCTGTTGCAAAGTCTCTAACAGGTAGGAATCATGACAGCTCCAAATGACCGTCTTGTTTGTTTGTTTTTATTTATTTTCAGATTTGGTTATAGACCTTTCCATCCCTTATCCCCCGGGTAAGAAAGGCTGAACACACCTTCTGAGCATGCGCAGTTGCTCTGCTGCGCGGTATATCAGACGCTAGGAAATCCACAGCTCAATGACTCAGCATTTTCATTCCGAGTGATAAGATATGCAAACGTCAATACTACGCTATCCGGCGGTAGAAACCGACGAGCCACTCAGGCAACGTCATGACAGTCACCTTGACCCGTCTGCCGGTTCATCCGATCAAGCACAGAGAGTGCGCCCTGACTTTTAACTTTCAGTTTTTTTGCATGTGCTTGTTTGTCTTTAACCGGGGTCACACTGCGTATTCTCGATTCCCACTAGACACAAACTGAAACAAACGACAGCGAGAAGCTTCAAACACATGCCGAATGCTCGCTATGGTACCTTTGGCAGGTGTTTAGTCGTTCGGTGCTCGTGAAGTAACCGTGACCGATTGCAAACCTGCCAAAGCGTAACCACCTATATACCAACAAAGCCTGGCAGGTCGCTACGAGAAGCGGCCGCCGAAATGGAAAAGGCGGAACGGCAGACAACGGATGAGACGAGAGCCTGTGACTGGCCCCCCGCTGCTGCGAGACGCCGAAACACCCTTCTCACGAGCGAACAACTCTGTTTCGGGTCCTCCCCGCTGCAAAGGTTGTGCGCTGATGTCCAGGCTCCCCGAGAAATGGCTCTTTTATGCTCTGTGCTACCAGATCTTCCCGCTACAAATCTGTGACCGGGTATTCTATGACTCCGTCCCCGAACTGCCAGGCTTTGTGAGTATAGAAGAGTCTGTGGCCAAAGATACCCTCGCGACCATATGATGCTCGTGTATGAGCATAGCCTCCTATATTCTACGAAGAAGCGCCAAATCGCCAAAGTCTCTTCTCTGAGGCTTGTCGCTGTTGTAGCTCTTGTGGGACTGGCGCGCTATACGTCATACAAAAGACAGTCTGCCAGACATCAGTCACCGCGATATCCGCGGTTCGAATGCCGCGTGCCAAGTTTCCAGTGTTGAAACACGTCACAAGTAACGACGTTACTGGTGACGCGTTAGTTTGTTTACTGACGTACTGGTTAGAATCCCAAATGACTAACGAGCAAAAATAATGTTTTTGTTATTTTACGGTATCTCCTGTTAAATTACGTTACCTGTTACTTGTTACATTTGATTAAAAATGGACGCATGATTGTTTGAAAAAGATAATTCATATTTTGAACACTACGTAAAAGTGGCAAAAATACCCCAAAAGAGCTATGTATAGACCGTTCCACTAGAAAGAGCGGATAGCAAAAAAAAAATGCCTTCCCCATTTACCCAGCACGTCGTCTGCTCCGCCGAGTGGGCTGTACCTAACATCCGGCTGACGTTCAAACTCGGTTTAAAATGGCGTCCTATTGGAAATTTCAAGTGAAGATGCGGGCAAAATCCCTTTGCAGGGAACCGGCAAATGATGTCGTGAACGAAGACAACCTCGACGACAAGGACGACTACGATGACAAGCTCTAGAACAACCAGCCGGGAAACCAAATCCCGCTCACCAGAGCAAGTATGGAGGACACGTCCTCCGAATTTGAGCGAAGACAACGCGACGAGGGACGTTACGACTATACCTTTACATCCCGCAAGGTGTCGTACGACCAGACGTGCCTACGTGACTGAAAACAAGGAACTTCCTTCTTAAGCGCCCTTAAGGTCATGTACGCCCACGCTTACAGGTCCGAATGCAATGTGCTCACGAGGCCGATGATATCCAAAAACATTGGAAACATAGACACGCAGTGACTAACCACTTTGAAGGAGATCGCGAAGGGGGTACTCAGAGGAACTACGCTCAGCTCACCACTCTGACTCATCAAATCCAGTGGACTCGACGAAGGTGATTTGTCATAGTGTACGAACATCTGCAGACACGCCAGATCTGAAAAACAGAACGCATGGTTCAAACTTTTCCCGAACGCGACGGACTGGTACGGTCATGCGCGGTAAAGCTTCCTTATGGAAGGGTTATCAAACGACCGGTTGAGCTTTTGTATCCCCTGGAGTCCCTCAGTAAATGAGCAGGTCTTTGCTTTTTGCGGAAAATATTTGTAAAATATTTTAACTAGAAACGCAGCCTCCTCTATACAGACAAAGCCTGGCAGATCATCACTCGACGCGGCCGCCAAAATGAAAAGGAAGAGTGGCAGACAAGAGTCATGTAACGGGCGCCCAGTTGCGGCGAAACTCCAAAACACACTTGTCCCGAGCGATGGAATGTCCGCTCGTGCCTCTCGCGTTCCTCGGCCTACCACTACCTTTCCCGTCGGGTTCGAAAACCATGTTTCGGGTCCTCGCCGTGGCAAAAGGTGCTTTCTTCTACAGGCTTTCCAAGAAACGCTTTGTGTTCCCGGGTCCTCGCACTCGAAATCTGTGGCCCGGCATTCTATGGCTCCGTCATCGAACTGCCAGGCTTTGGAAGTATAGAGGAGGCTATGTTAGAACTTTATTTCTTGGGTGAAAACGATGAAAAGGACATGCTAGATCGCGAGCGAGGAAGACGAAATAGCAGAATGACGACAACAAAGTGCTGAACTCAGATCACCTCACAAAATACCTGACGACGCAATGCACAGCGAACGCCTCAACGGATCACAACGTTTTCCACCAATGGAAATATTGTACATAAACCTTTTTTTTTAATTTCTCCTCTTAACGCTATTTATCAAGGAAAAGTCACGGATGAGAGGCTTCGCCGGTTTTGGCTGTATACAGTGCTTGAACAACGTTCGCGCTTTCGTGTCTGTTTTAAACTCCCAAACTTTATTCGAGCCACGGGCTTCAATGGCGACAGTCCCGTGGTCGAAGGGACACCATTTCTCGATTATACGGTGCACGAAAACGAGAGAAAGCGTCGAATATTGTCTGATGAGCGATGTAGCTTGCACGGAACCCGGCAACTCCAACAGCAATGTCTTTAAGCTCCATCGCTTTCCACTTGACCCCGATCTCCGGCGGCAGTGAGTTGCGTCCGTAAATTGAAAAAACTTTCCCCAACGCCATCCTCTCGACTGTTGTCGGAACATTTTGTGAATGAAGCGCGTACCGAACTTAACGCTGTACCTGTAATGACATGGGGTACGCTCCCAAGATGCGTGCATATTTTCTTGTGATAATTGCTATTTCAGCTTGTAACTTTTTCGTAATTGAATTTATCTTAATATTGATATTTTACACTGGTGACACGGACTCGATTTTATCATCTACAACACTTGGTTGAAGCCGCATTTCCGCCGCCGGGTGTAGCTCAAAACTATAAAAAGTTAGTTCTATCGTTTTTTTTCTTTTTTTTTTTTTTAAATCCGGGATTGCGGTGCGTCGGCGATACAGGATTTGCCAAGTCAGCGTACCTTCGTCTTATTTGGTATTTTGAATGCGCAGGTAAAGGACATGAAGCACTTCACGTAGATGTGGGTGAATCGAAGTCAGTGGCTTTACTCTTCGAGGACATCTCCTGGTTGTGTTCTCAGCCTGCAAGCATCGTGGTTAACTGCATCGTGGTCAACTGCGTCGGGATTGGACACCAAAGGACCCCTTTCGTTGAGCTGTCGGAAGCGATATTTGATAATATCATCCGAGTAAATCTGAAGGTAATTGCGCTAACCTTTAAGCAGATGAGAATAAGCTGGTCATGACTTCACCATAGGGAGCCCTTTCTTTTCTATTTTATTCTCAAAATACGAAGAAAAAAAAACTGCGGCGCATTGAACAGAATTATAATTCGTTTTGTTTCAGTTCGAATTTAGGTTCGAACTATCATAAAATGTTTACACGCAACCGCTAAATATAAATTAATTAGTGGCAATTTTTAGTTTGAATTACATATGTCGTCTCGCGTACCTTTTCGAGCACAGAATGCATTTGTGGACTAGATTATGTGCAAAAGCTGCCACGTTCATGTTTTAAGAAACAAATGTTACACACCACCCAGGAAACATATCACACACACAGGTCCCATAGTAGACAAAGGATAAGCGTCCAGAAAGACAAAATCTTATTTAATGTTACGTACTCATAATTAAACATACATTATTGTGACACGCGATATTTAGCAACCGGCTCAGTAGGAATCGAACGCTGGACCGTGAGATCCGGAACCCAAGATTCTTGCTTTTTTTTAATTTTTATTGCGGCGTCGCGAGAAAAGGTAACTGAGAGCAAATAACAGGACGGAATATGATTAACGGGGGCTTGGGCGAACACGCGACCGTCGGCGAGGAGAAGAGAAGCTTCTCACGTGATTCTATATAGTCAGGGTGCAGATCATAACTCACCAAAAGATTGGACAGAGTGCATATGACGTCACGACACAGCAGCCAATGGAGAAATTAGCGGGTGTGATAAACATCATCCACCATTTCAGTTACCACAAGGGAATCCTCGAATTCCAAAAGGATAGAGTACTCAAAGCGCTACACGCACCCTTGGAAAACGCAGAACCTTAATACTTTACTAGGAGATTACGTTCTACTTTGGTCATGTGTGTTAGAGAGTGGACCTTCAGCGCAAAATCTTTCCCGAACTGCTTGAACATTCACCGTAGGAGAAAAGGCGCACGCATTGCGCTATAGACGCTGCCGAGCTTTCCCGCTGCGCCAATGGAGAGGGCTGCCGCCGACGCACCGCGATACCGGTATTGCCAAGTCAGCAGACACGGCTGTTTCCGATGTCTCGGCGGGTTTACAGGAGGATAGATGGCGACAAACACCCCTCCGAATTTAAAGTGGAAAACCTCGAGGCTGTGAACCTTTAGCTGTTCCTGCTAGGCAAAAGCTGTCGTGGTGTATGATGTATTCCTTAGTAAAGTGTAGGGTGTCTGAAGTCACCAGGCTCGATCTGAAATAGACTGTAAAAATCGACGCCTGCGTGAAGCAATTTAAACTTTTCGTCGGAAGTGCATTTCACAGGTCCGTTTTTAGTTGTAAAATTGCAAAACGTAGCTCCCTCCCTGCAGAAACTAGGGCGAAAAAAAATTGCCAGGATCAACGGCGGGTGGCGACGCAGACGACTGAGCCGAGCGTACGGGCGCTTTTGCCGCACGTATTGATGCATGGTGTCGGGAGCAGCGTCGGAAAGTGTAGCCGAACAGCGAAAGTAGGCAAACTACACACAGACGAAATCCGTCGGCAGCAAGAACGCCGTCGTTATGCAACTGTGTTTTTTTTTAATACTGAAGGCTTTGCTTTTGTTGTCCGCTTTTATTTCCAAACTAGGGCTACACTACAAAAATATTATCTTCATTTTAGTGAATCACGGTCGTCGCGTGCAGTCTTGATAAGAAGCTAGCGCCCTCTATCAATGCGTAAACCAAACGCGTCCGCCAGGCGACTCGGTCGTCTGCCTCGCCGCCCGCTGTTGACCCTCGCAAGTGTTTCGGCCCTTTTTTTACAGAAAGCAAACTACGCATTCTAAGTCTATAAGTGAAAAAGGACCTGTGAAATGCACCTTTGACGAAAAGTCTAGATTGCTTAGTGCAAGCGTCAATTTTTACGGTCTATTTTACATCGAACCTGATGATTTCGAACACCCAATATATTCAGAATCCGTGAAAAAAGGTACTCATCTTACACTCCACTCCTGAATATATGTAAGCTTTTCTCGATCATTGTGATAAATTCGTTCAGCGCATATTTGTGTACTGCGTGCAACGAATTAAAAAAAAATATAAAAAAACTCCAGAACATATTATGACTAACCATAACACACGCATAATGCATGCAGGAAAAAACTACGCTCCCCGGGTATTTTAAATTCTGAAAAAAAAAGATGATTATATTTTTATTCGTGCTCCTAATTGTAAATTTGTATCTGATATATATATATATATATGTAAAACTGAGAAGAAAAAAAACCCTTAGTGAAAAACAGCAACAACGGACGATTTAATCTTCGACGTTTCGGCCGGAGTCCGGCCTTCGTCAGGAAGAACTTTTACAGATGAACGCCGGTGGTATTTATACAATGCTACGGTCGAGTCCAAATTTCGGAGGGGTGACGGTTGAAGCTTTCGAGAGAGGGAAGCGGAGGGCAGTTCTTATCCGGGTAAAGAAGCTTGACGGTCGGTGCCAAGTTTCAAGGACGGCGGGATGACGGTTGTAGCTTCTTGAGAGGGGGCGCAGGGTGACTTTGTGTCCGGGCCGGCAGCGGTGACCTATATAGACGATAGCGTACAATAGACGAAAGTTACACGCGCAAACTAAAGTGCTGTCTCAAAAAAAAAAAAAAAAAAGGGCGGCATGGTCACTTGTGTGCATGCAGGCATGCATGAGTCAAACCTGAAAGGAAACAATGTTAAACCTAGAAGTAAAAAGAAATACAATGGATTTCAGAACCTGGAAATAAAAGAAAAGTTGATGGTCCAGTTCCGGCCCCAAACACAGTACCACTGTTAACAACAAAATCTACAAAAAAAAAGAAAAAAATGTTTTTGGATTGCTGTTGCTATTCGTCTGTTAGCATTTTAATCGATGCTAGAGTACCGGGGCTTTCATTTATACCTTGTTTAATAGTGTTAAATCGGTAAATTAGGTAGGATTCACGCTGTTCACGTTCGCGATTTGATTTAAATCCGGATTCTAGGAGCGTCACTGACAATTTATCAAAAGAATGTTTTGGGAGAGCGAGATGTTTGGATAAAGGCAGTGCCGGAAGATTTATGGCGTGAGATTTGTGATTATTAAAGCGCAGTCTAAATGCCGTTCTAGTCTGCCCTATGTATTGCATTTTGCATACCGTACACTCGAATAAGTAAATGACATTCGACGAGGCACATGTTAAGTTCCCTTTAATTTTGATCGAGAACTGCGAGTGCGTGCTGCTGGCCGTGCTTGTGTGCTGCATCTGTTTACAGATTAGACATCCTGGGTGCCTGCAAGGCCTACATTCGTTAGGTGGTGGCGATGAATTTATCCGAGAGTTTACTAGCGCGTCTTTGAGGTTACGCGATCGTCTGTGGACTACCCCCGGGGCGGATGGAAACGCGCGTTTAAGGCGCTCGCTTTGTTCGAGAATGTTATAATGTCGTCTCAAGACATTATATGGGGATGGTTTATGCTATAAGTTAGAAATAGATTTGTGCGTTGTGTGGCGCTTTGCGTGGGGCGCGGGCTGATGAGGTCTGCGCGGTTCAGTTGTTTGGCTTTTCTGATTGCATATATTATATATATTATATATATATATATATATATATATATATATATATATATATATATATATATATATATATATATATAGATATATATATATATATATATATAGATATATATAGATATATATATATATACTGCATTTAGTCGAGCGATTGCCGCACTATTTATGAACAAGGCCCTTTCGTCTACATTCCTGCAAAGAACATTTACAGCCAATCATCGCATTGCGCATAAATAACCTAGCGAATCACTAGATCGAGAACACGAGTCTCCATACAAATGCAATCTGCACAGATGGTATCTTCGCGCGAAGACGTTATCATTCTCCTATAAACCGCTAAAATCATGCTGTCAGTCGCGGTGATTGGCGATCCGCGTGCTCCGCGGAAAAGGGAACTATCAGGTTTTCTTCATAAACAGTGCGGCTATTACTCCTGTAAATAAGTTATAGCCATACGTTAAAATACACATGTGCGATTGCCCTTACTCGATACTCTTGATCATGTTTAAGATATTTCTAAACGTTAGAGGTCTATCTCGATTTTAATTTAGGTGTACCTTTAATTTGGCGGCAATCACGGCACACTTGACGAGTTTGCCTAATGAAAAAAAAAAAAAACACGACTACACATCAGTTTACGTGCTCTTTCCCCATGCTCGCAGGGAACCTTCCTGATAACCCAAGCAGCGGCCCGGGCTATGACTGCAGGAAACGTACGCGATGGGGCCATCGTGAACATTTCAAGCTTCGTGTCAAAGCTATTCCTTCCGGTAACCGGACAAAAGCTCACCGGACAAAAGCTCACCGGACAGAAGCTCACCGGACAAAAGCTCACCGGACAAAAGCTCACCCGTTTTTTGACAGACCCGGACAAAAGCTCACCCATTTTTTGACAGACCCGGGCAAAAGCTCACCTCGATTTTTTTTTTCCTTCCCGGGCGAAACACGGGCTGAAGTAAAGTGCGGACGCAATAGACATTCGACCATTTTTAGGATTTTTTTAAAAGTACTTTGAAAGAACGGGAGTTCGGCCTTTTGGAAAAGTACAAGACAGATGACCAATTTAAAAAAATGTGCGGGATTTTAGATAGGCTCGGGTTCCTTCCACCACAGCTTGTTCCACAAGAACTAACCACCAGGGAAAAGTTTACCGGTGACATCGGCTACCTGCTGGACTATTTTGATTGCACGTATTTCAACGGCCGCTTCCGTCATGCTTCTGTCCCATCTGCGGCGGCACTCAGAGCGAATTCTTCCCTTCGCCTGACTCTGCGCCGACGGCGACCGGAGTTTCCCCCGGTACGGTGGAATATGTACGACACCAATCTTCAAGATAAAAACCGGATGAACACCTGCGAAAGATAGAGTACCGAGTTCCAGAAGCTCGTCGGCCACGCCCATCCAAGAGTCTTGAGGCTGATTGAATGCCTGCAGCAAAATCAGGCGCTCGTTGCCACGGCATTGACAAAAGCCCGGAGAGGTGAGCTCACCGTAAAGCGGGTGCGAAAAATTACTCTGCACCTGCAGAATCGTCTTAGAAATATTTGCGAGGGCTTGCATGTACATCGAGATCTACCAAGACTGCTGGAGCTAGTGGGGGACTGCATTCGCTTCTAACCAATCGATAAATAAACTTGTTTCTACTAAAATCAACAAACCATGCGCCTGTCATTTAATTTATCGTTGCCTTTTTGTGTCGCACGCATGCACCTAAGTTGTCCGCACTCCTGTGAAGACCAACATGAAATTTTCTCGTGGTGAGCTTTTGTCCGGGTCTGTGAAAATATGGGTGAGCTTTTGTCCGGGTCTGTGAAAAAATGGGTGAGCTTTTGTCCGGTGAGCTTTTGTCCGGTGAGCTTCTGTCCGGTGAGCTTTTGTCCGGTGAGCTTTTGTCCGGGATTCGTGCCTTCCCTACCGCGGCGCGTACGCAGCGTCCAAAGCGGGGGTGGTGGCACTCACCAAAGTAACGGCAAAGGAGCTGGCGTCGCAGGGAATCTGTGTCAACAGCGTCCTGCCGGTACTCATGACCACGCCTATGACCGGGACGAATAGAAAGCCTGACGAAAGAAAGAAGGCGGTGGAGGACATTCCTCTAAAAAGAGCCAGCCGCCCCGAAGAGGTGGCCGACGTCATCGTGTTCCTCTGTGGCCCCAGAAGCTCTTTCGTGACGGGCGCTGCTGTGGATATCGCGGGCGGGCTGTAGTTGACGCGCTTCACCGATGCCTCTTAGATGACAATTCACGCGCCTTTATTCTTCAAACGACAGCACTTGCGAATCCGGGAAACGTTATATAGCTTGCGTCCTCTTCGCAGCCAGCGTGTCTCGCGACGTCTCGACACTATAGATCCTTTGCCGAATTATCCAAGCACCAAAGAGAATGCCGGGAAGGTATGTGTACACGCGCTGCGCGTGCTGGAATCTGCAGCTGTAACTATTTCGTCAGAAAACATCTAAAACAAAGGCACTTCGAACCCGAGTTCCACAAATACTTTATTTTGGTTAATGAATTCAAATATTTTGAACGGGGAAGGCGTGCGTGGGAAGCGCGTGTACCTACGTTCCCAGTATTATCTTTGATGCAGGATAATTTAGCGAAAGGTCTATTGAGACGCCAGCGCGCTTCGACGCCAAGACGGAAGCGCCTGCTGTTGGGCAAGGTCCCTCATCGAGCCTCAGCGGGTTTGCCACTTGTAGCGCATTGGGGATTCACAAATAATGAAGGCGTGTGCACGTTTTGTCGTCTATGTGGTATTGGCTTCACTCTTTTACTGCTGGATTGTTTAAGTCGATTACTAAATAAAGTCTACTTCATATTAAAGCCTGTTTCAGTCATTTGAGCTAAGTACAACTTATGCTTCAGTTAGAGTTCAGCTACGCTGATTGGCAATTTAAGAAACACGGAAAGGAACAGCTCTCGCGAATCTAATTCTCACACCACACTCAGTCCGATTGATATATCAGCCTATAAAAGAACCCAACTAGTGACAAACCACGAAGCAGTATATCAAAAGACCACGCCCCGTGTTGTTTTAAGCTGACATTAAATTTAGACGCCCGCATTCCAACAGCTGAAACATTATGCAGCTGTAGAACGCGAGAGAATTTTTGGGCTAAAAGTATTTCAAACCAGACATTACACGTTAGCCAAATTAAGTAAGTGAGTAGCGTTTCTCGTTACTCGATCAAAAAGTAACTAAATACGTTACTCGTTGCCGATCCCCCCCCCCCCCCCAATAAAAAAAATGCGTTACTCTACCTCAAAAGTAGCGAGTTACTGTTCTCGTTACCTTGACGACCAATTACACAGCTGCTTTTGTTTCATGGTTTCTTGTCTTCTTTTCTGTAGTCGTTTATCTTAAGCAGTACCTGCCTTGCCATGTTTTTGTCGGTTATGTTTCCCTGCATCATTGAAAATACGTCTCTGGCGAGGCTAAAGAGTCTTTCTATTAACGCGCTCACTGAATGACCGGCAGTGTTGCGATTCAGGGAGAGATGGTTAATCTGGGATTCCCATTTCTGTATTGTTCTCTCTGCTTCCAAGGTTCCAAGGTGACACTGGGTTCTGTGCCTTCCCGCGTTGGCAACCTCCGGGTTTACATTCAGTCTCTACACGAATCTCGAAGGTTCAACCAACGCTTCCTATTGTGTTCGCTGGCTGAAAGACATTCCTGGCTGTAGAGTTCGACTGACGTTTTCTTGAACAAACATTGCCGTACTGTCATTCCCTTTAGTTGTTTTTCGGGTTGCCAATCTGCCCTTGTTGAAATACACGCATACTCTGGTCAGTATGAAGGAAGATGAGATTCACCTGCTTGTCACACAATGGGCACATTTCGCTAAACGAACCTGAGTTTAAGAAATTCACCAGAGTATGGCTTATTTTCTAGGTTCATTATGAAGGTGTAGTGAATGTGGTGCGACTCTTGAATTTTACCCTAGCGCTGGAGAGTTTTAATGAAATACGAAAATATGACCATTTTGACTGTTTTAAAATCATTTTTAAGCAACTGTGAAATTAAAATAACGTAGATGTCAAAGGTGATAAAACGAATGGTAGTACGTACTACAGGTGTGTATTATCTTAGGTTTAAGACCCTGATGGGAAGCATAGATCTCTCCTTATTTGTGTATTTGCGCAAATGAATTCGACAATCGTTTTCGCTACATTGTTTTTTCAGCGGGTACAACGAGAAGGCGACACCAGCGCCAAATGCCTAGCAAAAGCCCCAATCCAGAGCATTTATTTCTTATGCCGTTTTCACGAGCTTGCACGGAGGAGGACTCGCGGCACGGCCCTATGCTTCGCGTCGCCGAGATCAGTTTTGCTGTTTGCCGAAGAATGATTTGTGTTAAATTTCTGACCTCTGCACCACTCAAAAAATATGACTGTGGAGTGGCGACACATCTATGACGTAGTGATTCCAAAGCAACGTGCTGTGTCTCGCCGCCGCGGGACGAGCTTTCACTTCAAATTCTAGAGTTACCTCGGTCGATGCAACGATCTGTGCAGCCAATATAGCAGTAAGAACGGGCTACGTAACCTCGCGATGCGCGAGTCCCTAGATCACACCGAATAGTCACACACCCTCAGTAAAGCCCCTTGATGTGCTTCTTTTTCCTACAAGCGTAATCAATTCCTCAAATACGCCAGTGCACGATCCCGTGCCTCGTGCGACACTTGAAAGAGAATGGTGGCGCAGCACTAAAATGAGCGGGTATGGAGCGGCCTCTGAAAGAAAATCGCGGTGCGGCTCTCGCTCGTAGTCTCGTGGTACATGTGTTCAGCGTTTGCCGACAGTGATTGTCGGTACTGGTAAAAAAAGGTCTAGCCTGTATTTTATGCATGAACTTTGGCCCTCAGCATTCCTTTGGCGTCCCTGGCTTCTATCGGCCGCTTCACACCTCGGTCAGTACAATATAGTAACAGATTGAGAAAGTAGGTGTAGCTAATACTGGCAAGGAAATGCGCACCAATATTGGTTAATGTCAAGGAAGTTAGTACAGCCAAAATCTGCTAGAAAATGTGCACCAATATTGGTCAATATTGGGGAAGCTAGGGAAGACAATATCGGCCGGGAAATTAAAACAATATTGGGCGCGTTCGTGTCGCTAGAGAATGTGCACCAATATTGTGTCATACTGAAAATGCTTGTGTAGCAAATATTGGCCTGAAATCTTCCATCAATATTGATGAATAATAGGTTCACAGCAAGGAGAAATCTTGGGACTGTATAGGGCCGGGCTGCACTTGCCCATATCAGCTAATATTGTCACGGGTGGTGACCAATAAACAATAAATAAACAGAAAGAAATAAACTTTTATTGTGGCGAACTTGTGCCAAAAATAAAAGGGTACAAAAGATAATAACGGAGCGTCGCGGGCGTCGAAGTCGGCGTAGCAGCAGAGTCGAACGCTGGGCGAAAACTGACTGCAGATGAGCACGCGGAGTCCCTTATGTACGCGCGTTGGGTTCTGGAACAATCGGCCTAGATTGTTCGGCGACTGGAACATTCAGAACTCGATCTGACGAGAATGTTCTCGAACTCACGAGAACGCAATGAAAGAACAAATAAAAGAGCATTCCACTGACTGGAATCGAACCCAGACTTTCTGCACGACAGTCAAGCACGGTAATCACTCGGCCACGCGCGCGGTCGCTCGCTGACGAGCGTGGCAATATTGGCATCATTATTTACCATGATGTGATCAGTAGAAAAATAACAGATTGGTGTGCTGCCTGGTATGCAATGTGTTCTATCAGCCAAATTTCAATAAAACGTGTGACGTTTTTTTGTTTTTTTTTTAATTTTAACTTACACATAACCAACACCTTAACTGGTTACGTCCATCCCTATGGGGCACTGTCGTGTTGGTGCTCGGCGTGTAGGCGCGGTCGTCCGCCGCGCGGCCTCGAGAGCTTGTGGGCGAATAAGGAATAGTTTTCTTCTTAAAACGTAGTTTTGTATTTACACAAAATTGAAATGAGCCGCCGAGTCGCTTTAACTGTGGTCGACCGAAAAGGCGGCGCGGGAAGAGGTGATGAAACAAAGGGCGTGGAGAGAAATACATGGGGAAGTGATATGTACAAGGGAAGGCTCGTTGCCCACACGAAGGTAATCGGCGAGTCGAAAATGTGTACCCTTAGCAAAAAGAAGCCGTACTTGAAACGAACTTGAAATATATTGAATATCAATATTCATTTTGTATTCATTCTGTATTATATTGTCCCCATTCGAAATACGTGCGCAAGGTATTCAAATATATCATAAATATTAATCAGAAAAGATTTTAGATATACCAAAAATATAATTCCTTCGCCCTCAAGATGCCATTTGTGCACTAAAAACCAGCTACACATTTTTTGGGGAATTTTGTTAGTATATGTGTCCGGGAGGTATTTGAAGGCACTTCAAAATAGAAACCACAAATACACATTAGAAACGAACACAAACACAAGCACCATGACGCACTGAACACCTGAATCACAGTCCCGTTGACTGCTCTAGAGCATTATAAAGCCTACATATTGAAGGTAATCATTTGGCCGGTGACCATGTCTGCACTTATTAAGGTTCCAAGTACGCGATCTTCTCCTCGGGAGGCTGTCAAAGGGGAAACAGTTTTTTGAAGTTTGTGGACGATATCTCTTACTAAAAGCATTAATACAACTAATAATAATTCAGCGCAGTCGCTCAAACATTATCCACAAAAACGGCTCCTAGAAGAAATGGTAATGCTTCTCTGCATAGCACCACCCAGGATGAAACGAGTCAAGCTAGTTTCTTCAATTTGAAATAGTTATTTTGCTTTTCTTTAATAGTTGACTATTTAATATGGTCATTAACATCAATATATTAAAGTCACTACTCCCATTACGTACAATGGTGAGCATACACATTCAGTGAACTAACATTGTGCTCACACAATTCCACGCCAAACATATATGCTCACAGCATTTGCTGAAGCTTTCCAGCATCAGCAAGTGTTGTGGTTGTAGTTCCCGAACCCCGTTTGTGATTGGCGTGCAAGAAACTCATCAGGTGTGTTCTTGACAGAAAAAAATTAGAGAATAACATAAACTGGGCTGATTTATCAGTGTGATGCTGCACAACCCATTTGACAAACTAACCAAATGTCGTATTCAGGCATTTCAGCGTACACCACATCTGCTTGAAATGAACTTCTGATAGGCGAGCTTTTCAATACTTCTATTAGTTTAAATCAGACTACCAAAGTATTGCAGTCAAAAGACACTTAGAGTATAATACAACTGTTATGTATCCGAGTTGCTGTCTCCGCTCGAGAGACTCCTCCACGGACCCAACTATGAACCCACGAGTTCGACAGT